GGAAACTCGTACCAGGTTGCTCAGTCGATGATAGACTCTAGAATATGTGACAGTTTCAAGAAGATGCCAAAACTGTCATCGCAACAAATTACCTCCGATAGCGTCTGATGAACGAAATCATTGTTCGAAATTTTCAGATATTCTTTCGTTCGTTCCATCTCTTAATAATTCACATGTGTTGTGTAAGTCAGTATCTAATTGTGTTCGTTTACTGATACTTCATTATGTTGATCCACTTTATTATATTCGAAGTTTATTTATGTGGCCGTCTCATTTGCACTCGCATATCGTCCAATATCATTTAGTCGTATCAATTTTGAAAACAAATGAAATTTTCTGCTTACTCAGCGAGTATCAAACGAAAAACTCTCTCCCAAGAAGAAAACTCGTACTCATTTGCGGAAGATGGCTTCATCATCCGAGGGATTCATTTGTCACGCTTACGCACATTCAATCAACGCATTCCATGAAATTCAGCCACTTGGCTAGATTCTCTAGTGGTGTTTGAGGCAATACTAATGATCTGCTGTGCTCTCTGTGTTCCTTTCAAACATTTCATTGTGACTATAGTATAAGAGTGTTATATTTCCAGCTTCAAACGACAGTTTTTAGGTTTTTTAGGGATAGGCTCAGAATCTGGAATGTATTGATCAGTTTCAGTGCAATTCCGCACCGATTCCGAATTGTATCACACTTCGATTCATTGATTACATGGAATTTCTTATATGCTATATAAATGTGTTTATCGATGCAGTGAATTTCCACGAAAGCAAAAATAGGTATGTGTTTCAGAACAAAAAACGAGACAAAGTGTGATTTGAAGATAAAGTGTCGCTCGAACATGCCGAAAGTGCTCAATAACAAGACGACGAACCAGTCAGCATCGAATACGGACACTAACGATAGAAAAGTTTGTCTTGATGCATTATTCATTTATCATTCATTTATCTGTAGACATTTATTCATCTTTTGACATTTTTATTGACATTCATTCATTTAGTGTTTGTTCATGTGAGAAGTGTGTGGTATATTCGTTGAAATGATTCACTTTTCTGCACCACTCTAAATTACTCAAATCAATTGTTTGTGTTCAACCGTGTAATCGTACTGAGATTATTGAAAAGAATCGCTCTTCACTGTTAATTTCTCGTTCAGATCAATTGTTTCTTAGGTTTTCATTCGTTCTGTACCATACTGATTGATAGTTAAACGTTCATCAATGAAACGATTGTGATTTACAAATTGAAAAGTCTCCGCCTTCATGAGTAGATTTGTTTGGTGCGCCTACAAAACTTTTTCGTAGTTGTCGAGAGAATTCTGTTTTAATACGATTCCCTTGAATACCTCTGGGTATTTGTTGTGTAGTCTTGGTTTAATCCTGCGATGTTTCGCTATTTGGGTGTGTTCCTCAACTAACACTTCCTTTATCAGTCATATTCCAGTCTGTTCTAAGCACGGAATCTGTCACAAATTTTGTCGGCATGATCAAATTTACACTTACCTTCTGATCCATTCAGTCAGACTCTCTTACTTTGATAAGTACGATTCGCTTGCGCCCGAGCGATTTATTTATCAGAGTGTTATCATCAAAACAAGGTCTACATTGAAAGATGCCGAAACTTGATGCAAAACGCACATCAGTGCAACTTCTCAATAATTGTTTCTATGGTATTATGAACAGTTACCAAAACAACAACAACAGCGGTGACAGCGATGGATCTAGCCTCGACGATTTTTACAGAGCTTCTGAGTCTTTGGAGAAGGTGATGGTTTTAGAGGGGGCATTCGAAATGAACAGAAAACGTTACGTTCTCTCAGTGAAGAAGAGGAGCTTCAAAAAAATTTTCAGCGTACATTTATCTATACCAAGAGGTTTCACTTGATGATTTCTCCGTTCAATTACAACTAACCATCAGCTTTCAGCAGCAACCATCCCCACAAACAGCGGCCGTGGAGAGCGCTATCCTCTCGTGGGAACCGGATGCAGCAGAAAAGGATATTATAAAGGTTTCTTTTAGCCTAAATTCTGTTCGGTGGTCAATTTGTAATGATTGTTCTCTAGGAATATTCAGTGACCCACAATACATCACTACGAATTGATTGGTTCATTCACATTAAAAGAATTGATTCGCGTGTGTATTCCTGGATGAATGTGTCTAATCTTGAAAGATTCGAGTATCTCGAGAAATAAAATTGAACTAGAGCAGAGTTTCTGAATTGATAGGAAGGAATGTTTGACGATTGTTCGACACGCAAACTTGCACTCTCACAAGAGAATCACTATTGAGTCGCCCAAACTCTAATATTCTAATCTGTTACTTAGAATTCTTGTCACCAGAATAATCGACCTCAATATTTCATTGATGATAAGCGAATCTCCACTCACGATTAGGTATTCTTTCTAAATTTGGGCTTCCTTATGCTAATCTAATTAATCGTCTTGTTAATAGGAAATGCTTCCAAAAAGCTTGAGAGCACCGTATATCTGTGCTTATATTCGCAGAAATATCCCTCTCGTGCTGTAAGAAACATGGAATAATGAAAATGATGGATTTCGAGTGAATATGAAATAAATTGTCAAGACGAAGTCAGTTTGGAATAAAATATTGAGCAGGATGAGAACGAAGAAGAAATAAGAATTTTCAATCATATTTTTCATTCTTATCACAGTTATATTCTTCTTTATTTCTCGAAATGATTTGTTTTAGTTAGGAATATTCAGTGACCAATTCTTTTAATGTTTCAGTTAGATTATTTCTGTCGAAAATTTCTACCATTCGAAGAGTAATCAGTGTTGTATTCATTCATATTTCTTCACTTACTCTTACAATTAAGACCAATTAAGACTGTGAATATCAGTGGTTATCCTAAATGCTGATGAGATTTTTCAAACGTTTCTCGGTTACATTCAGCCGGTTCCCGGTAACATTCAGCCGAATGTCGACCAGATTGATTGATTCTAATTATTTGTCTACTGTGAGGGTACATAAGAGCCGGATAATTGCATAATTTTCACTGACTTCTACACAGACCATAATTTAGATGAGGAGTGTTATTGTTAAAACACATCACAGTCACGTAATTATCAAATGTCTGAGTTTGAATCAATCTAAAATCGACGGGACTAATTTTCAAGATTTGAATCGTCACCAAGGCATTTTTTCTCTGTTTTTTTTTTAGCGAACATGGAGTGATGATTTCGAGTTTTTGTATGAACTTGGCACAAATATATACGCGTATATCTTCGAAACACATCCGAAATCAAAGGAATTGTTCCCTTTCTTGCTGAAATACGGCGATCGATGGAGGGAAAGTAGAGAGTTTCGATCACAAGCGCTCAAATTTGTGCAGGTAATGAATAACTTTTTGGGCCGGTTATTTTTTCAATAATTCAGTGTTGTTGTCTTCGAAGCGTTTTTACGGCACTGGAAGACGACTCAAATTTTTGAAACATTGACTAAGAGGCTCGATTATGTTCGAGTTGTGCGAATGGGTTGATTAAGTTGATTCGTGCGAGAACTGAAGCCGAAATTGAGGCTTGTTTCAGCTCAACTTAGGCCGAGACTGAAGGACGACAATTTTGGAAGTGTTACGCTTTCATGGAAGTGTGCCATTCGAATAGTGTGCAAATTTTTGAATTGGGGTTTGCTTGGCAGAACATTTTTTTCAGTGTTTCAAATTGAAGCGTATAATCAATGCAATTTCAGGTTCTATCAAGAACTGTAAAAAATTTGTATCACATGGAGCAATTACCGCCAATGTTGTACGCAATCGGTGAAAGGCATTGCATCTATTCACATCGTGGTTTTGTGCCAGAACACTGGGATGTTTTTCTGGTATCTTTATGCTTTGTTTTGCTCGTCTTTTATCACACATCAAATGTTACTCCAAAAAAATCAAGTTTTTTTCAGGATGCAATCGAAATCTCGCTAACTTCACACATCTCTGCAACACCCGGTTTGGATGAAGCACAGAAGACTCAAGCGATCGAAATATGGCGAACGCTTTCAGCTTATGTGATCGTACACATGAAGAGGGGATTTTTGGACGGTCTTCAAAAAGTGAATTCGAACGGTACTATGAAATATTGATTGTTGAATTTCGAGTTTTTATTGATAATCCGCTGACAAATCAGAAATCTGTTCGCAATAAATTTACTGTTTTCTTTTTGAATATTTCCGGAATGGAAAGCTGCTTTTTGGCGAAGCAATTGACAAAAAGCACTGAAAGAGAGGCTGAAAGTTAGGGCACACTCGATCAAACAAGAGCACAATTGATGCTTCATTTCATTTGTTGAATCGTCTGGTCATTTATTGACAGCGTTAGTCGTTGGCTTGCTGTCCAGCTTAGGTAATGAAACTGTTCTCGAATGCAGAAAGTAAACCTGAAATTGAAATCGACGTTTCATGTGGGCAAACAAGTCGTCGTT